ACAGTCACCGGCGAAAGTAATGGTGGTGAGATTGTTATAAATTTTACTACAACACTAACCTAACATTTTTTATAGAAGCAAAACATATAAATAATAGTGCCAAATTTCTAGCAAGGTAATAAAACTTAGAAATGTGATGAATTGCGAAAATCTAATAGGAGCACATCACGGCGAGCCATTTTCCCGATTGCAGTTTTTAAAATTTTCAAACTTATTTTCTCGATAAGCAGTGATCAGATTTTTGTAATTTTGGTCTTATTATATTCGCCTCAATAAGACTAACATTTCTGTAGCGATTCCAGAATAATATTTATCGAATTATTGCGAATTTTGGTTTTTTTTATAGTTAAAACGTTCAAGTTACAAAATTTTAGAACATTAAATTATATTCGAACTTGCATTGACACAGAAAGAGAGCATACCAAGTACTGATATTTTAAGGGCATAATGTCCTACACAGATTTTGATTTTATCAGTTAAATGAAATATAATAAAAAACTGGTCGCCATTACTTTCGCCGGAGATTGTATAATATAAAACAAGAATAACTAGAGGCATTTCATCTGATTCTTCATGCGTTAATCACCAGACAAGTGGTATTTCAGATTCCAATCATAATTTATATTATATGAGTGTAGACAACGGGAAGTTTTTTGGTTATTTGCATTTATGAGAACTATTTTCATTTCGGATCACATGTATAATAATTAACAATCAAAGGAAATATAGAAAAATTATGGGCTCATTTTTTTAACTTCAGAGAAATCTCTCCAAGTGCAATATATACCCGCCCTAAAATGGCTCAATCTCAAACTTATAAGGCCTCTAATTATTTACTCACTATAAGTGCACACCTCTCTAAATGCACATTCTGTCTTTTTTTAATATGGTCCCAAGGGGGTGCACTTTGAGAGGCTTCTCTGTGACGATTATAAAACTACCCCCTTATAATTATAGATGGTGTCTAAATTCCGTAATTAATTTCGAAAAAATTTGGGCATCTGTGTAAAAGTGCCAAATCAATTACGGCTGCCAAAAATAATTTGGACAATTTACATAGGAGCCGAAATTAAGTCCATTTATAATCACATTATTTTGTGGTTCCAACCAGTGTAAATTTTCAGCAGCCGGAATGTATACAAAACAATTCGCCGCTCAAACTGTCACTTGAGCGTTCGGATTTTTTAAAATATCTGAAAGTTCTCCAAATGGTGAGCCTGATGAAAACTTTGTTTATGATAAATTGGACAGTGAAGACCACCGGTATTTATTACAATTTTTCTTTTCAATTAATTAGAATAGTTCCTTTTTTTAGTATTGATTGTGAACGGGGTTTTTCCAAACACGTAATGAAATTTTGGATAAATAGGTGCGAGTTTGGAAGATCCCTTAAACAGTAAATTCAATTACAATGAACTTCTCTAAGTGCACCCCCTCGGGACCATGGTAAAAAACAGGCAGAGTGTGCACTTAGAGAGGGTGTGCATTTATAGAGAGTAATATATATACATATGTGTCTTATAATTTGGAACCAAGCCATGCCGTGCATTTAAAGAGAATTTATATAGTGCATGCATTTATAGAGGGCGCACTTAGAGAGATTTTTCAAAATAATCAAAAGCATAAACAAAACATAAGTTTTTGTTTTTGTTTAAAAGTTATAAAACTCGCAAAAATCTAGATTCTATTTGTGATTCATAGGTTGACCTTGAAATTGAATATTTCTTTTCTTAACTATGCGTTGATGATGTAGTTGTTCACTCTGACTCGCGTTTATTTGAATGAGTGCAAAACTTTTATTGATTAATAAATTTGTTTAGTGAAAAGATACTTTTTATTGTTATAGATTTTTCCAAACCAAAGAGCCACTTTTCCGGAACAACTTTAACAAATCTTAACATCGAATAATTTTCTCAGCAAAGATAAAAATTAAAACATTTCGCATCATAAAATATTTGATTCAAATTCTGGATATATTTTATTGATTAATACGATATGAATAATAATTCTAAAATTAAGTACACTTAGCAGTCGTGTGGAAATTAATGAAAAAATTTGCAGGTCACCGTGCTGCGCCACCGGCCAAATTTTCAATTGAACATCAATACCAAATCAGGTATTGATGGTCACTAATTTTTACTGAAACTTAAAAAGAATTCTAACATATTTATTCAAATATATAATTGAAGTACTCGATTTATGGTAGTTATCATTAGCAAATATACGGCTATCAACTCTAATCAGAATTTCCGGTCAAAAAAACACGTAATATTATATAGAGTAGTTAATGAACTATTAATTTATGTATTTTCTAATTTTTTTTAATTATAAAAAGAAATTCTGATAGAATTTAAAGCTAATTCACTTTTTGTGTGATAACTAAGTGACCTGTACTATATATAAATTTGTATAATTGCTCTTTAAAATAGTATAGCAAAATGTATCAAAATATTATATTTCAAAATATTTTTTCTATACAAAAGTATTTTCACTATAACTTTATTAATTATAATTAAGAACATGCGGTATTTATTTAATTATAACATCAAAACATTAGCTCACACACCATTATTTTATGAAGTATGATGCATAAAATCTAAAGTCATCAAACGTTTGTATTTTATAAAATGTATAAACTTTTTTACTAAGAAGTAAATACAAAATTTAATCCGTGAATACTATAAACTTAGAACATCTATCGAGTTTTTTTTCGCGTTATTGACTTACTAATCTAATTATGCCCAGGTCATTTTATCTATGTATTTGTATTTTATTTATAACCTTTTAGACATTGATCAAAAAACTTGTAATTTTAGTATAACATACTTAAAACTACAAGCTTAGAATAAAAGTATTCGGTGACTTTGTCCGCCAAGTGTACGCCATTATAAATGCATTTTCTCCAAAACAGCATTTATCTATATTTTGTCTGAAGACAACTAATTCCTTCAATTTTATTTTACTCGTTAATGCCAACATACGGACTTTATCAGAATAAAAACACAATACGTAACTTATTGTGCACAGTCGCATCTCTATAAGAATCCTATTTTATTGGTCGATCCCAATAAGGTATAACTTTATACATGTATAAGAACATAACAGGAAGAGAGGTACGACTGTATATTTAGGGAAATGTCTTTTATCAGCTGAGTTATTGAGGGAGATTTGGATCAAATATCAGCTTATTATAATTTATAACCCTTATAATATTATATATCATATGTCAGGTTTGGGGGAAGGATATTAAATGGAAATCAGCTGTTAAAAAATACTTCCTTTATGAGACAGAATGTTTTCAAAAAAAAAAATAACTTTTGGAATAAACTCGTATTTCAATGCTCAAGTGCAAAATGACAAGAAAGTAAAATTTTATGCTACTTTGTGTCTTAGGGGTACATCGATTATGGGCCCACTTTAGTATAATAAAAAAATATATTGCTTTAATCTAAAAATATTCTATTTTAATTTTTTATCTTACAATGTAATGGCAAAAGAGAATGGATATTTCATACTGTATTTAAGCTGCTTTTTTGTATTTATGAAATGCTTCATACATAAATCTCGCTCTATAAATAACTTGTTATGATGCATGGTGATAAACTGGACAATGACTACGTACATAGTAAACCGGAGGCAACAGAAGAAGAAATTAATCTGTTTTATCAAGATATCCAGTTAAGGCTTATTATAATTTTTGAATAAGTTCAACTGATTGAGATATATATATTAATTATATATGGAGAAATTTATAATTAGAAATTAGAAATGGACTAATCCGGCTTAACGCAGTTTCGGTTTAACGAGAGTATAAATTAAGATCATACTGCGTTAATTTTGATTACAATTCACGTTTAGCACAATATAGTAAAATTAAAAGATACACTTGCTCCATTTAGCAAACAATCAATAAACACATAATTATTCAAATTGACAATGTACATAGTCATTATTAAACACGAAAATCAAGTGATTCCATACGCCTCTTTCATCGATGTGTGTTATTCATTCACGAACATATATTAAAGTTTAGTGAATCCCCCAGTTTCATAAATTTTTTCCAGCTGTTGGGTAACGTAATGAATTGCTAATTGGTTGCAATTTCCCGTTCAATTTCGAGTTTTTAATACCCAAAGAAAGACACTCCTTTTTTATGACACCTCCTTGTCTAACGATTTAATCATTGCGTGTATTGTTAGTGTCATCGACCTGTACGTCGTCGAAGGGTAATTTTTAGCTGTATTTGTCTATTTGAAACGAAAAATAGAAATTTTTATTCTTGTGTTTGTTGTCCATCGAACAAATAATAAATCTTTGCGAAATCAATGGTCTCCCGATAAGAAAAACCCGTAACTTTATGCAATGAGAAAAATGAATGTAATGAGACAAATGAAACGGTGTGGTATACAAAGAATTTCCTAATTGAGGATAATGAAGTATATATACAGTCAAAATTTCAAACCAAAATGTGATGAGTTCAATTATTTTTCGACACAAAGAAATTTTTATCTTACCAAAATGAATTCATTTGTATTATCATCGGACTTGTAAACGTTTCCGCCAACGTCATGTTTATCTTCGAGAATGCTGTGAAATCTCGTTAATGTTGACATTGTCAGGATATTTGCCCGGAAATTTTACGAGTCTCTAAATTTCGGAATAGATGTCGTTACTGAAGATATTTACAGGTTTCGGAGTAGATGTCATTACTGAAGATTTAATATGAATTCATGCTTATCATTTCGTTCAATTTAAGTTCTCAAAAACGACAGTTAATCAATAAGATACCAAATAAATTATCAAATTTCATTGTTCTCAAATTCCTTTGGACCCGAGAACATTTTCATTTTTAATTAGAGTTTAGAAGTTACATGGTTTAAAATGGCGCGGGTTATTTGTTTATCCATTTAGGAATTACCAAAAAAATTATCTTGAAACAAAACACATAAGATCGCAAACTCTTTTTAAGCAATCAGTATCGAGGAAAAAAGTCTTGAAGAATGGTTCCAACACCTGGAACAACCATTTCTGAAGAATGTGAACGGTTATTGGTAAACTAGGTATTCTATAGAGAGATCGAATTCATTAGAGGCCCCAGCTTCATTAGAGGTTTCGGCTTCATTAACTTCTGAATTAGTAAATGAAAAAAAAAGAGGACAAGAATTTATTGGTCAAAATATAAAATCGTAGAGAAAGCGGTTTTATCTGATCGCCGTATCTTGACCTCATACCGATATGGTTTAGACCCAAAAAGTGTGATTTTGTGCTTCACTGAAGACGTGCCTTTCAATAATGTAGGGCGGCTTTTAGCGAAGAAGAATAACAATAGTGCTTACCAAACATAAATAAATAAAAAGCCGTAGTATTTATTACAGTTATCCAGAAACTGCAAAACAAAAGCTATAATTGGACGATAATAGAATAGGCTAAATAAAACAAATTGTTGTTTTATTTCTGCAAATAAAAAAAACTTTTCAATCAATGGTCTATTTCATGTCTTATCCGGAAACTTCGGAAAAAACCAGTTAGAATGCCGACATATCATTTTTAATATACAGAGTGATTCATTAACCGGAACTGCGTTAAGCCGTATTTGTCCAATTATAATTTCTGTAATTAATTGAATTTGTTTGAAAATTATAATAAGCCTTAACCGGATAAAACAGAATTTCCTTCTGTGCCTCCAGTTTCCGGTAAGATAGAATCTAAGCCACTGAAATCATGAGTGGTCTAAGACCCTCCGACTGCTCTTTCACCTAGCTGATAGTTGATAGTTTCAATTTATTTTATCTGATTATCATTCAAAGAATATTTATTATTTTTTTGAATTTGTCTACAATACTTTTTGCTGCTTGGTCGGAATAGGACTGAAAGAATCAAAACCTTGAATATCAAGAATACATGCATTTTGTATTATTAATTTCATTAAATACGTAATGGTTCTTACTATAAATGGTGAATAATGTTTTGTAAATTTTGGTAATGTTAAATAAGACCAAATTTATCTTCTGGCATTTGCATTTTGTTAAAATAAATAAGAATAAGGCAGATTCAGGTAGTATGGAGAAGTATGGTATGGCGAAGTATGGTATTGTGGTGAACTCTTCTAACATATACATCCAAGCATGCTAATTTTGAATGTACATAAATTTATAGGTTAGTGGAGTTCGCCACAATACCATACTTTGCCATACCACACTTCGCCATAATATCCGAATCTACCTTGTTTGTTTTTTTTATGTTGGAAAAAATCATAACAATTGTCATTATTTAAGATTGTATTTGGTCATTCATTAATTAGAATTGAACAATAGGCTACTCGTAGTCATTCAAATATAATATATTAAAGTTGCTGGTTACATCCTTTTGATGAAATCAATGGCCCTTTAATTGCTTTTTTAACAAGAATTTGGAAAACAATTGTTATAATTTTTTAGTACAAACACTTGTAATTTGGATAAGGAGGAATTCGTAAAATACTTTGAAATTGTGATTGTAAATAAAAATTCAAAAGTACTATTCATAAAATAAACATTCTCAGAAACCAAAATATAAAATAAATTCGATAATGCTTTTACCCAGTATATTATTTTAAAGCACAAATATTGTATTCTTTTAGTTATGGAAATATAATTGATTGATTCGTCAATATTTTCTTTTTCACGTTTAAAGTGCCAGAAATTCGTAAATTGCGTGATTTTCATAATTTATTGTAATACAGATCATTTGACTCGGTTCAAAAAAAAAAAACGTCGGGCGCCGAAATATGTATAAATATATTGTGGCTTATGACAGCATGCTTGCTCTGTCGATTTCTTAGATTCAGATTTTATCGTTATTTGCTTTTGATTTTTAAATAGTATTATCAGCCGTTTCGAGTTATCAAGCTCTTTTGAATACAGCCTTTAGTCTATATTTGGTATATAATATCGGTTAGAAATTAAAAAGAATCTGATCTTCGTTAAATTGGCCTACTTCACGATTATCGTCATAATGGTATCAATCATGTCATAACAACCTGATATGTATACGTTCATGTATGACGATCATCAATTATTCGTTCATCATAAAATCATTGATGTTTCATGCAATCTCCTGTTATATTCAGGTGTTGCTAATTTCTGGGCATTAGCCATTTGATTAACAATATGATCAGCTAGTTATGATATATATAGTGATAAATGGCACGCCCTAAAGAAAATCGCTATTTACACGGAGCCAATTAATGTACATTAAACATAAACACAATATATTTACTGTATTCACACATAATTTTAGGCGCAGTGCTGCGCCCGCAGTAATTATGCATCATCATCCCCGAATTGGCGAACGGAGCGGAGATGTTTTTTTTTTAATAAATAGATATGACATTAACTGTGTTGACTGTGCCCTCGAAGAGAACTTTGAATATTCTGAAATTTGGAGTTTACTAATCTAAAGCATAACAAAATAAATACAACGATTAAAAAACAAAAAAAGTTTTATTCTTTCGTACAAAACATAAGTTTATCGAGGTAAGAAGAAAATTCACGCTTAATAAGCAGCCGTATTGCGCAGTAAAACTAATTACTACATATACTTGTGATATTTCATAGTTGAGATACAGCAAAATCAGTAGAAAAGTAAAACCTTTGTTCGAGTCTTAAACCCTTTCTACTCTATCAAATCAATTCGACTAATGCTAATATATCAACAAGATTAAAGCTTTTAATCTGCTTCGCAACTTTACTCTGTGAAAATAAATCTTTACCACGCAAATTTAGGAAAATTTGATTTCTGATTATATCCTGTTTCGCGTAAAAATAAATCGTTAATTCCCCTTTCGTTTATTCTAAGTATTTCCTTTTTTATATTTTCATCAACAATAACAATAATTAATTAATTCTTGTCGGGTTCTGCGGCTGGCATTATTTTTCTTATTTAAAAATTTTTTGTATTTTACCTTAGCTTTTTTTTCATGATGTCATATCTAACCTCTTTATAAATAACTTTCCTCTTCTTCCTCTTCACTTTCACTTTCCACTATAAAGTAAAAATCATTCGCCTTAAGTTGATATTCTACTTCTTGCCCAAAAAACCCAAAGAAAAACCCAAATTATAATCACTGCAATTTTCATTCTATCATCAAAAAACAAACAAAACTCAATCTCCTCTTATCGATATCTATTTAATTATTTGACTATCCCATCCCGTCATTATTACATTCATCACCTTTTGAAACTCAATCGAAGATCAATCGAAAGTCAAGCTTCAATATATTCCTTTTTTTAACTTTAAATCAATCGTAAATTCCATAAAATGATAGTAATAGAAACACCACTCTCGATCAGTCATTACAAGAAAGATACTTCTCAGCAAAATCCGGCATCCTGCGGTGGTGCCGGATATGAGTTCCCTTCTGCGTGGTCGACCCGCCCATCTTCCTCTATGCTCATTAATCAAAGTCCAGTCTCGTTCTTGTCTAGCAGCGATGAAGATTCTTTGGAAAGAGTGCCAAGTTATTCTTCTTCAGAATGGTCGAACAACAGTTCACCGCTTCAATCATCCTCATTCACTCCTATAGCTAGACCTAATACAATGACGTATGTAGAAAACAGAAATCAACAACAGCAAATTTCTGTGGAACAGCAACTGCGTCTACAACAACAATATTTACAGCAACAAAACGGACTAAACGAAAAGAGTAGAAAAAAGCTTAGGATTGAATCTGTTCCTAATAAGTTTATGGCATCTCGAAATAATGATGTAAATATTGGTAAGCTTATTTCTATTTTGTTGTCCAGCGAGAGAGATTTGACTATACGATACAGACATTCGAATGAGCACTGGTAAATGATGTTTCATTGAAGGAAAGGTGTGCAAATTGTAGTAAAAAATAACATGTATGTTTTTGGTCATTCAACCTTTATTTCGTGCCCACTTTTCCAAAAAAAAAAAAAAGGTTAGGATGTGTGGTACTATTCTTTCTCCATATTGCAGGTCTCAGTGCGCTTTCAATATGGGTCAATATTCTCATACTGCTGCTGTTGCTACTGCTAGTGCTCTGCTACTATTTCCGTTTCACCTAGAAATGATTTGTATTGCTTATTTGTTTTCATATATATATATACGCATTTAAGATATCATTGATAATCTTTCAAATTTTTATTTTTTTATAATATCTTCAGTGAATCAACCAGGATCATACGTAACACAGTCAACCCCAGAGTCGACCTTAACTGGCTTTTCAAGATTGTATATTCATCATACGCCGCAGCAAGAATCATCTCGTGTAACGAATGAGTTTAGGCTCTCAAAAAATCAACACAAGCGATCTCGGTCGGAAGAGGGAGACAGAGAGGTTCATGCATTTATGTCTTCTCCTAATCATGACTCGAAATCACGAAAAATTGCTCACAGATTCAAAGAAATTGGTAACTCTAACAGAAAATTTACAGATGACTTTAGAAACTTTAATGGAATCGACAATGGTAACCGTAATGCAGAATTAAATGACAATAATAATAAGAATAATAATGATAATCGAAGCTTTAATGGAAACCTCAACGGAAATCACAATGGAAATCTCAACGGTATCGTTGACGGAAACGACAACGGAAACAAAAATTCCAATAATGGGAATGCGAACAAGACTGATTTTTCGATTCTCGAAATAATTCCTTCATTGATCAGCGAGAAAAGCAGAAAAACAGCGTTTGTTGACAATCTTGTCGGTGAGTAGAGGTATACAAATATTGTATATAAACGATGTGTGTGCTGCTTTATCGCTTTTTTTTTTAACAAACAAATCATCATTTTTACTTATGTTCTATTTTGATTAAATAGACACAGCAGCACTTATTATCGAAGAGATTTGGTCTCAATTCCACATCAATCCTGTTGCGAAAATTATCCCTCTTAAAGTTTTTCTCCAAGAGACACTTCGACGGTCGAGAACCTCATATTCAACACTTCAAACTGCTCTTTTTTATCTTTTCCGCGTTAAATCACAAATCACGTCACGTGCTTTTCAACTTCCTAACGGATCCAGGGAACCGAGTAGTCGTCCAATGACGCCTACACCCGATTCTCCAGCCTCCAAAAGAGATAACAACGACCCAGCGACTTGTGGTCGTCGCATGTTTCTAGCAGCGTTGATTATCGCGTCAAAATACCTTCAAGATCGAAACTATTCTAATAAAGCGTGGTCGAAAATTTCCGGACTCCCCGTAAAAGAGATCAACCAGAACGAGATTGTATTTTTAAAATTGATCGACTATAACTTGTTTATCAGCGAGGATATCTTTAAACGATGGAGCAGTCTCTTATTGACACATATTCAGGCTATTTCCGGATTTTCGGTGAAAAATGCAGATACATTTACAAATCATCGAGAAGTTGAAAGATTCCGGGAGGAATTGCAAACACTGGATCCAAAGACTATGGAATGTCAACGAAATAGTATTGCTGGTTTCTTGGCTACGCCAGATTCAAGTACCCCTAGTACTCCACGAGGGTCTGAAACAGAGTTTGCGTTTAATACAAAACCTTTGGCTGGAAATGATATGAGAAACGTGCAAACTGTGATTGTTACTGGAAATAATGATATGAGAAATGTGCAAAAATTGGGTGCACAGGAAATGGAAATAAAGATGCAGACTGAAAGAAATGGAACAAGTGTGTCCAGATGTTCATCGTCTACCGTCTCTCCAATGATGATTTACGCAAAACCGAATTCCCAATAATATGAGAAATAATGAGCAATCGCTCCAACGTCAACATTACTATGATTGATTTTAAGGTAATATACACCCTCAAAACGTATAGCTAAATTATAAGTCACATAAATATTATAAATATTAAATTGTAATAATAATAATTATAGGTTTGGACATATATCACTAATCGAATGGAAGCTTTGACCATTCTATTACATCATAACCTCGCATTCTATTTCAACTCCTATTCCATTATGCATTTATTTACACATTTACAATCTTTCCTTCCACATTTGTTGACAAATACTTTACCTCTTCTAATTATATATTTTACCATATATCCATTCACGCACACATACATATATCCCTCTTCAAACCCCTATGCTTTTAATCTAGATTTTTTTACTTCGCATCAATGGGATAGTTACGAACAACTACACTTGAAAAAAGACACTTGTTTTTTTTTCTATCTTCCTATCGCGGCAAGCTATAAATAACGTTATTAGAAATAATATACTAAATTACTATAGTCAGCCATTTGCCTTAATTTTTTTCGTATATTATTATTATAATTATTTCTTTTATTTTTTACCATACATGATAAATTCAAAAAAAAATAAAACACGTTTCACGTGTATCTTCCTGCCTCTTAGAGTACTCCTTCACGATTTTTTTCAATACTTGACGCCTAGCCACCACTTCATTCAATCCCTACAACGCAACAACAACATAATCGCGTTCTTTAGAAAAAAGAATTTTTTTTGTATTCGTTTAAAAAGAATTACCACATAACTTCTTAACAAGGGAATACAAAACAAGTTCGTTTTTTTCTTGGAACGAGACTATGTTTATGAATTGTTGAGTAGTTGCGTCAATATTGAAGAAAATCGAGAAGAAAGATCACAACACATTCAGACGTAGATATACGTGGAATAGAAAAAAATCAAAAAATATATCAAACAACAAAATCACCATACAAACAACCTCCCCCAAATTCCCATTCACTTTACCATCAATCCCGTAATTACCCTCCTTTCTTCTTCAATCATTTTTTTCCACTTTTCGTTGGTTTCAACGTTTTTCCGTATATACTTTATCTTAACTGAAATCTTGTTAATGATTATTTTCTTACCCTCCTCCTTCTTCACCTTTTTTCTTTTTCGCTTATCATCAGATACTAATTATTAGATTCTTTCAGTACGTATTGACCACTAGTCGGTTTACTACATGGAAACATCAACCGGCCATTTGGAATCATCCCTATAATAATCAAAGAACTCGAAAACTAAAGAGCTCAAGTACACGACTAGATCATTGTATATATCGAGGATGACCGCTGGATTGACCAAAACACGTCCCACATCATGTTCAGTGGAAGTTCAACTCAAGTTTGTCTGAATAATGAATAACAGGCAATAGTATCAATAACGTATCTAGATGGTGATGATGACGATAATAATAATAGTAAAAATAGCAGTGATAATAATCGCATAACCCACCTTCTTCGCATTATTTGCAAAATCATCAAAAGATATCAGAAAATTCAAAAAAATTTATCCACGTTTACCCGACTGAAGCTCAATCTCCGCCAATCGCATACGCCTCTTTGACTCTTTCTTTACCCAAAGATTTGAATATTTCTTGGGATCCTGACTTTAGAACTCCTGCAGCGAGTGATTAATGATTCTGGGATCTTGAGGATATTTTTTTCGCAAGGGTATTTATTGGGAAAAAGATTATTATTATGCGAATGACAAAAGAAAAAAAAAGTGAGAAAGATTGATCAGAAAAAACGGAAGGATATCTGGTTACGAAAAAAATATAACTATTTAAAAAAAAAGAAAAGACGACGATTGTGTGAATTAATGTCGAAGAACAGGGACTTGCGAAAATAATTGCTTCTATTTTATTGATCTGGTATAATAAAAAATATGAAAGAATGGATTATTAAGTACGCCGACCTCTCGTATGTTTGTAACTCGCCTAAAGATGTCAACGCAGAAGCTAACACTAATACAAGTGACGGCAGTAACTCGTCTAAAGATGTTAACGCAGAAGCTAACAGCAATGCAAATAAAATAATTGGCGACACACGTGCAGCCATTCTTTAAAAATTGGACATTTATTATTAATATTATTATTTTTATTATTTTATTTTATTTTTATTATTTTTATTATTATTCATCGATCCCTTTTCCCTACCCTTTTTAATCCCCACTCTGTTTCTTTTGATTTTTAGTTTTTTGTCCTTATCTCCGTCTTATCATCATCTTATTTCATATTTTCTTTTTATAAATGTATTTTTAATTTTTGCAATAATATAATAAAGTGGGTTTTTTTTTGAAAGTCTCGGTCTGTGTCGTATCTGTTCAATTAAATCTCCGATAACCTTAAATAACTTTGTTCTTAGCTCACGATACAAGTTTTTAATAGAAAATAAATAAATGGTTTTACAGATTGACCGCAGTATACCCAAAAATACCATCAAGATGATTTTCGCCAAATGTTGAAATTGAAATGTCTGACTCTCGAAAACGTAAGCCAATTCACAAAGATGCCAATAGCAGAAAAAAACCAAAGGGTAAATGCTTTTTTATAAGGGCAAGGGACGGACTTTACAAAAGCTTCTTTTTTATAATGTCTCATTCGTATAGGGTACTATAAAAGGCAATCGAACACTACTACACCAGTGGGTTTGAAACCGGGAATTTCAGGGATATTTGTGAGTTGTCCCAAGGATAGGGAACGATTATGCGTTCGAGAATGTTATAACCTATTTAATGAGGTATATATGGACTTTTTCATTGATTTTGTTAATTCATTAATTATCAATTAATGTTTTATCTATTCCAGTATGCTGAAAAGTTATATGGGATCACGGAATCTTCGTCTACTGAGAAGGGGGAGGATAATAATGATAATGATAATGATAATGATAATGATAGTGATGATGGTGATGGTGATGGTGATGGTGGTAGTAATAGTAATCCAGTTGCTGAAGATTTCGATGTAGAAGATTCAGTCGCTAGAGAACTTGCACAACTGAAAAAAAAGCATAGAGATTATTTGTTCTCGTCGATACATACGGGATCTGATTGCAGTTTGCATCTATTTCTCTATTATTACTATTACTGCGTGTGTATGTTATCGCGTTTGGATTATCTAATTAATGGCAATCATATAATTTCTGAAATAGCTGTATTTTTGAAGACCAATCCTCCTGTTGACCCAACAAACTTTGTTCATTACATACTTTCTGATCTATATGACAACAAGCTTAAAAAGTCTAGGTAATCTTTACTTCTTGTTCCATTGTATCTATCTCATATTTAATAATATTCCCCTATGATTTACGAGGCGTGATTTAATATTATAGATTTATTCAACGATTAACGCCAATAACTAAAGCCTGTTATGCCGATATGCCTGAAATTATTGTACTAGCAAAAGAAGTTATTGGTGCTCATTTTCATTCACAAGATGAAATTACCAAAGAGGAAAAGAAAAACATTCATGTAAGCAAAATTTTTAAATTAAATGTTTTCATTATTACGACTATTTAGATTTAAATATTTATATGTGATAAAAAGTACTCGATTGTACCAAGAATCCGAAACAATAAGATGATAGACAGGACGCAATTGATCGACACTTTGGCAGGAATAGTTGGCAAACAGCATACAGTGAATCTTGATAATCCTGAGCTAGCGGTCCTTGTCGAGGTGTTTAAGGTTTGTTTATACTATTTTTTTTATTCTCTTTTATTGTTCGAATAAAGAAATTAATGGCTTTATTTTTGATTGATTTTTTCACAGAACGTTTGTGGTATAAGTGTTGTGAGAGACTACTTGAAATTCAAGAAATTCAATTTAGAGTTGATACCCAGCACAGATGACAATCTTAACGCTGAATCTACGCAAGTAAATAAGTCGTCAGCTGTGGAGAGATCGACGAGTGATAAAGAGGAAATCGGTAATATTGACAATGACAATGATAATAATGACAATGATAATAATGAAGATGATCCTAATAATAAAGACTTATAATTGTACTGAAGATCTTTTCTCCTTTGGGATTTAGATCAGTTTTGCGTACATTTCACAATAACTATCTTTGAAAAAACAAGAATTAAAATATTTATTTTTCATCGAGCATATCTAAATTAACATCAGCTGCCGTACCAATAATATATTTCTCAGTAGAAACCGTATCAGCAACCAGATCATACTCATTAAGAGGTAAAATAGCAAAGATGCCTGGCTCTCTTTTTTCAACTCAAAATGCATGACGTTCTCTCCAAGACCCAGCGAATAGTCTAAAAAATGACACCTTTTCATAAGTACATGAATTTCGGTCGCTGAAGAGCTGATTCAAGCAATCCAAATGTCTCGAATATGCTGTTTGTGCTCCATAGCATTTATTAGTGAATTATGCATTTCAATAAAAGAGTCCAAATCCAGCTGTATTGGCTAACAGATTATTAAAAATGTATGAGAATTAAGTACTTAGTAAATAAATATTATAACTTTCTGAATATTCGTTTAACTATTTTTATTAATTTGTAGCTCTGATTATAATCTACAACTTGGAATCTCTGAACATTTACTTGAACTTGAATTGGATCTTGATCAGATTTGAGTCAGATTTGAAGTTTAAACTGAACTTGAACCAGATTTTGAATTGAATTTGAATTTTGAACCAGATTTTAAATCAAATTCAAGTTAGTTCAAGCTTGAACTAAATTAAATTTAAATTAAACCAGATTTTTTTTCAGAAATTTATATTAATATTATTACTTGAATACAAATTCAATAATCTAAACTAAAAATGAATCCTGAAATTAATGATGTAATTTAGAAACATAGCAGAAACTAGCTTAAAAACATAACTAAAACTAGTTTAAATTAAACAAGTGTTTAGATCAATCAAATTGTTAAATTTGCATTTAAACAACAATATTAATATTAGTTATATAATTTTAAAAAATTATATTTTATAATAAATAATAATAATAAATTTTTTTAAATTTAGAATATCAGTCAACAATAAAAATTTATATTTATTTTTGTTATTTTCAATTTTTTTAAAGTTTACTAATTGATTTTATTTAATATATATTTTATTAAATTTAATATAAAACTCACAAAAATTACTATACAATCAGTACAAAAAGTAATAATAAATATGTTTTTGCTTATATTTTAATTAGAAAATTTTCAAATAAATATTTAAAATATTAGAAACAAGATTTATTAATATTATAAAGCACATTAGTATAATAATATTTTGCAGAATTTTGTGTCAAATGTAATAAATTATAATTTTTAACAATTAAAATAAAATAAAAAATTATTTAAAAATATTATTAATAAAAAATTTTGAAAAAAAATTTTATAAAGAATATATTTATAATTTAAAAAACTTTTTTAATTAAATATTATTCAAAAAAGACTTTATTTTGATATATTTTACTATATTTTATTAAAAAATTTATCAAAATAAAATCTTTTTTGAATGATATTTATTAAATAAAAATAAATTAAATATATTTTTTATATATTTTATATTATAAAATATATTTTTATAAAATTCTTTTCAAAGTTTCTTATTAAAAATAATTTTAAATAATTTTTTATTTTATTTTAATTGTTAAAAATTATAATTCATTATATTTAACACAAAATTCTACAAAATATTATTATATTAATATATTAATAAATTATATTTTCAATATTTATCTACAAATTTTCACAACATTTGAAAATTTCTAATTAAAATATAAGCAAAAAATATATATATTATTATATCTGTACTAATTATATATTATTTTATTTTATATATAAAAAACTAATTTTTATTATATATTAATAATTTATAATAATTATTATTTTTAGTTATTTCAATTTATAAAATAATTTCAGTTCAAGAAAATGAAAAATTTAATAGAAATAATATTATAATTAGAATATTTTATAATAGAATAATATTAATTA